GTGAGAACAAAATCTATTTGAATTGAACAGTCCCACACACACACGTGTATTTCCTTGATGTTTAAGTACATCAAGTGGAAATTAACTTTAAACACAACCGGCCATTGTTTCATGTCGCGTCGTAACGATTTTATCTGTCGAATAAAATTCGAAATTAGTCAACCTGCTGTTTATCAAAATCAGGCAGTTTTATGAGCGTTTTTACAGTTAATAGTGTTGAAACTTTTAAGAGTGCCTTTGTTCATTTAGATCACTTGATTTATGGTTAAACAGTAGTATCGCGTAATATAATTTAAATAGATTCAGTTTTGTCATTGTTTAGAGGTGATTTGATTTTGTTACTCACCTGAACAAACAGTCTTTGTAGAATCATCTGAAAAAAAAAACAAATTTGTTAGTTAATATTACATAGGCAAATATTCTTGATCTTTCGCCAAGTAGCGGGCCAGGCGTAGAGCACAGCCCGTATACCATCCTTTTGAAGAGGACATACTACAACTGGCCATATTTTCAAAATATCCAGTAATTATACTTTACATTTTATGAATTATCTCTAGTCAAAGTTTTTTGATCATCAAAATTCTAAGGTAGAAGTATTGTCTCACAATGACGTGTCACAAACTTCAAATTTTGAATTTTAGTTAGAGAGATAAAAGGAATATAAAGAAGGAAATAATGAAAAATCCAAAAATTTAGTTATTCATTACATGAAAAATAGTGATTGTTAAATGTCAAGCGTATCGCCGCTATCGGTAACTAACTATCCAATCGACGTGAAGTTGCACCATGCGTTTTGATTGCTTTGGTTTCAACTTTTCTTAGTAATTGTTTTTTTATAATTTTGACTGCTTTAAATTCCTTAATTGTGCCCACTTGCCATAAAAAGTGTCATTTTTACTCCGAATAAAACAATAAACTATTTTTTTCAAACGCCACTAAAGTATTAATTTTTGCGACGGGATTGACAATATAAAAAAGTAATTTTAACGCCTAGGCATGGCCGGATTTACAATAAAAGCGCCCCTATGCACTTTTTTCCAAGTGCCTCCCATCAATTTGTAGAACATACAAAAACGATAAAAAATTGCTAATATTTTTTATTACAAAATATCCAAATTAAAAACCAACAAAAATGTTTTTCTTAGTTCCAGGTTTTAGTTACGTAATAAGTAAAACGCCGGCTAAAAAAACCCTAGGCAATTGTCTTGTGTGCCTAGTGGTAAATCCGGCCCTGCGCCTAGGCATAAGCCCTTTTTTAAAATATTTTTATATTATTTGGAACGTTTGAAATTGTTTAAAAAATTATTTGTGGCGTTTGAAAAAATGTAGCTAATGTCCTATTCGGAGTAAAAAAAATTGTGGCTCGCCTGTATGTCAAACGTACAGGCTCGCCGCGAAAAGTGTCATTTTTACTTCTAAAAAAACTATATAGTATTAATTACTAGAATTTGAAGTTATGTCGATGAAAAATGAGATAATATATTTATATGTAAATACAAAACGTTAAAAAAACTTGAAAAAAGGAAAAAGAAAGACCACGTGAATCATGCATGCATAGTGGGTCTTTGTCTTGATCTAGCGTCAGTCTTGCACTGGTCGATTTTGATTTTGGTCTTGCAGATATAACGCTAATCTTGATACCTATTAGTTTTGGTCTTGCTGATTTTACAAGACCTCAAGACCAAATACCAGTTTTGTTCATCACTATCTTTAAAACAAAAATGTAATGCCTAATACAAAAAGGAAGGTAGTTCCTCAAAAACGTGAGAAGATTCTTATAGTACAAGAGCTTTCAAAAGAGATCACTAGCACAAATGAAATAATTTTATATCCAGATCTACATCATCAAAATCTAAGCATGTCAAATTTTAAATTTCTATACGTTAATACAGTTACTTAGGATACAGGTTGTAAATTGTATAGGCGACCATAGAGATTTATTGTGTCCTCCTTTCTTGAGTTATAACTCATCATATAGTCTCAAGGCTTTCAAGTTTTTGAGTTCCGGTTTAAGTTGGTTTTTACTTGGAAAGCAGAACGATTCTGGTAAAGTTATTGAAGTGTTGGCTCCTTTCCTAACTAGATCGTTTGCTTTTTCTTTGCCATCTATCCCTTGGTAGACTCACCCAGAGTAGAAGGACTTTATTTTCTAATTTGTTCAGTTTGTCTAGGCATTCTTTGACCAAATTCGAATTGATGGTTACTGAGTTGATTGCTTTTAAGACTGCTTGAATATCGGATAACTTTAATCGAGTTGAAAACATGAAGGTACTCTTAAGAATATTTTTTTTCTTACTTTTATGGCAAACAAAAGTGCGATAAGTAGCAGTACCTAATTGTTACGCTCGCATATGATTCATTTCCTAGCTCAAGCACATGCACACATATCGACGCGATAAACCAAGTTAGTTTGCAGTAAATCAGTGGACCCCCAGTGTTGGCAAGAAAGGAAATTAAAAAGCGCTTTAATAGGCCATAAAATCCAAACGAAACGTCACTGTCGCGCTGCATATCCTGTCCCGATTAATGTCCGTTCGGATATGCGCGTGGCAAAAAAAAAGTAAAAATATCTGTTTCAGATATGTAGATTGGGAGATGATTTATTAAAACTTTTATACAGTGTGAATATATGCGTTATTTTTTCTGCATTTCCCAACTTATTTTGTCTAAAATGCTTCTGTATTATTTGTAATAAGGTTAGCTTGTCAGATGTTTTCAGTTGTTTCTAAAATAATCAGGATGGTATCAAAATTCACATTTCTTATTAAGAAATAATTGAAAATCACTTCTGAATCAACTGGAGCTTAAGCGAAGAAATTTAAATTGCACTCTGTATATTTTTGCACCAAGAGCTTTTTTATATGTCACCAGTTGATATGATTTTTAAGATTTATATATAATTGCAACAAAATTTAAATTTTCATTGAAAATTCTTGCGTGATTAAACCAATTTTGCTTATTTTTATTTTTTTTTAGAATATACAGGGTGAGTCTTAAATAAGTGCAAATATTTTCAGGGCTGGTAGATCTTGATAAAACAAATATATTTTCTCTTTACCGTTTTTTAAATTAAGTCCAAAATAACCAAGTTATTTTACTTTGAAAATTTTCAAAAAAAAAGATTTTTTGCTAAAATTTTCAGAACCACTGGATCTGTTCTAGATTTTCTCTCTTGCAAACTTAATCTACTACCTATGACGCCATATTATCAACGAATTATGTTTTTTTAACTAAAAACTAAAAAAAAACAGAAACACGATTATGAGGGGTTTTTTGCCAAAAAAATGAAAATTTGGATTTTTTTTTACTTTTTAGTTAAAAACCATAATTTCTTGATAAGATGACAACATAGAAAGCAGATCAAATTTAAAGGAAAGAAACCCCAGAAAAGATCTGGTTCTCAAAATTTAAGAAAAAAATCATTTTTTTTGGAAGTTTTCACTTATAATATCACAAGAGCTTAAATTATTTTCGGAAATTTTTTTGAGGGCACGAATATTTTGAAAATTATCCCGAGTCGAAGACGAGGGATAATTTTCCTAAAATATTCGTGCCCGAAAGAAAATTTCCAGGAATAATTTAAGCTTGCGTGGTATTCGGTAAGAAAATTTCACACCTAAATTTGAAAAAAAAATATTAATCCAACATGACATTTTAAAATAATTTCAATTTGTTAAGTTGGCCAAGGTATTGCTAAAACTCAAATGGGTAATATTTCAATATATAGACATTGTAGTTCATTCACATTATGATTGTAGATCTTATGTTTACCTTTTCAACTGTCAAAAAATTTCCACTAAAGTTTCGTGGCGCCTCGAAAAAATTTCCGCAAATTTTTTCAGTTGCCATGGTAACTAGTCAACATTAAAGCATGTTATTGGTTGAAAAGTAGAGGTGTGAAATTTTCAAAGTAAAATAACTCGGTTATTTTGGACTTATTTAAAAAACGGTAAAGAGGAAATATGTTTTTTTCCATAGCAACTGTTAAAATTGTTTTTTATCTATCAAAAATAGTACTTTAACAGCAAGTGTAGATAAAATGATATTTTAACAGCGAGGATAGGTTAAAAACTTTATTTCTTCTCGCACGTTTTTTAATTGCTTCCATTTTTGAAAATTTTCGTATTTCTTTTCATAAGTTATTCGGGATTTAAATGGAAGTAGTTTGGATATAGCTTTTGTCGCCTCAGTCTGAATATCTGTTGGTAATTTACTTATTTCGTTTAGAGCTATTTCTGGCTCGAATTCAATCAGCAATCGACACGAAAGAGAATTAAAAAATATTGATTCAAAACTGACAACTAAAGAGACGGCTTTATTTATTTGTCAGATTACATAGAAATCAACGTCAACCCAGCACAATATTTTTTCTACTCGTAATAAATTCCTTGAAATAATAATTTCTGAATATTTTTTAAAACGTAACTCGCTATGGAAAAAAATATTGTTTTATGCACGACGATAAAATTGCATTATCGTCTACCGAAATTAATTCACTCGCGATTTCATCGCTCGTGAATTAATCTTTTCCGGTCGACGATAAAATACCATTTTATCGTCTTAGATCAAAAATAACTATTTATCGAGATCTACCAGCCCTGAAAATATTTGCACTTATTTAAGACTCATCCTGTATGTGTCGTTTGTTTTGAAAATATTTGTTTTAGAAAAGACTGAGCACTATGTTAATGAGTGGGGTTTCAAAAAAAGAGCCAAGGCTTGTCTTTACACATTTATTAAACTTAATCCATCCATTTTATATTTGAGCTCGATTTGTTGTCTTTTTACTATATATTAATATTTTTTGCGAAATAAATCCATCACAAAGGTATACACATTATTAACAAAGCCATCATTCCTAATAAATTTAAATCTTTTGTTGACGTTGAACTAATCCAAACCAAATTTTCTCAACTTAGCGTTAAGAAGTGGATATTGTATATGCGAAAAGGGGTGCCCGAAAGCTAAATTAGATTACATAATCTTTATTATTGTTTCAGATGAGAGGGGGAGCCTGAATAGAGAGACGGGGGAAGCTCTTGCATGAGAGAGCATGGAGCTGAGGTTGAGCCTGTGGTGGATGCTGTCAATGACAGCCCTTTGCGGCGCAGTGGATCCTTGTAAGTAAAACCGCAATACAGATTCATGGGGTTTTGTTGTGAATAAAAGCCTAATTGGGGGGCTACATACATGATTCCTATTTTACTGAGAAAAAACTGAATATTAAGTAACTTGAATTTATTCATATTTGAAAACAAAAAAAACACTACCTACTTAGAAAAAATTACTTCATTACTTCGTTACTTCTTTCATTACTGTCGAGAGAATTAACTAAATAATGAAAACTTTCCTCCGAGGTTTGTATACTATTTTATTTACAACCACATCATTAATTAAAAAATAGGGAAAGTATTTTATTTTGAAAAAAAAATAAATATGCGAAAATTTTTCGTTTTCTGTTTTGGAATTTCCATATCTATAGTTACCGGTACCAGTGGTTGTTATGGCATAAACCTTCAACTACAAAACAAACAACTAAGTGACAGTTTTGAATTTCTCGTTCGATTTTTCGAATTTATATAACATAGAAAGCCAGAATGTTGTCGGAAAGTTCAGATAATGAAGACTACTTTAATATTGGTACTCCACCAGAACTTACAGAAGCTGCAAAAGAGCAGAAGCCAGTTTACTTCCAGAGAAAAGTAGGGGGCGATATGAAATAGCATTGAAAGTATACGAAAAATGGTGTGCCGAAAGAAATGCTAAGAATATTACTTCGGAGACAGTCTTGATGGCATCTACTATTAGGGCTATGTAGAGCATGATACGGACAATGCTAGAAATAAGGGAAAAGACTAAGGGAGATATCAAAATATCACAAACTCGTTGCTTTTTTAAAACGCCAGAATGTAGGTTTTAAGTCAATGAAATCTAGCATTTTTACCAAGCAAAACTTGGAGGATTTTCTCACGAAAGCCATCGTCTTCCTGTAGCAATTCAAACTCTTTACCTTCTTTTGTTGACATTAGAAGACCTGGCACAAGTCAGAAGTTAAGTTTTTGCAGCAGTGAAACCACACAAAACACACATCATCAGGGCGGCCCCTTAACAATATCGATTAACGCGTACAAGAAGTCAAATTTAACCATTAATTTCAACAAATAAATGTATTAAAATCTTCAATTATTATTGTTAATCTTCTTGTTTATGTTTGTTGATGTTAGATAAGTATTTAATAAAGATAATACAAGAATATTTTGCTTAATTAAATCAGGCGAGAAATAAGAAAAACCGAGTGAGGGAAATGGAAGAGGGAAGAAATGTAGATAATTTGACACTTTCAATTTTTTTAAAAGTCAGTAATGTCAGTATTACATATTATGTGGTTGTAAATAAACAATATTTCCCCAATTCTCAAAAATCCTCATTCAATTTTAAAATTCAAAGACATTCAAAGCAATAAAATTGGTATTAAAATTTAAAAAATCACAAAAAAGGTTGAAACCAAAGCAAACAAAACTCATTCGTGAAACTTTGTATCGACTGGATAGAGAGTTACTGGTAGCGGCTAGGCGACTAGCCAGGGCTGGGAAACCAAGTCTTAGACATCTCTTAATCCACCCAACTTTGGTCCAACACTGGGAACCTCAGCCCTGGCCATGCTACGGCAACCCAGCTTTGAACCAGAGTTGGTCAACCAAGCCTGGGCCATTTGTTGGTGATTTAGACTTGGCCCAATACTGGGAAATCGAGCCTTGGTCGTCTCTTAATTCGCCCAACTTTGGGCCAGCACTGGAAAATAATAGCAGGATAACCTACAAAAAGAAATCAGATCCCATCAAAAACGCAAAGTCTCGCAACACAATTCTTCCACTATAAAAAGTGCAAAAATACAAAACCAAGTCAGTTTATTTTATTTAGTTTCTCTTTAAGCACCTATTAGTAGTATCTATATGAGTCATCTTTATTTCTGTAATAATTATAATGACTTGGCAATTGCACGTCACCATAATTATAAAAGAATAATCTACCATTTGGATTACTAAGTAAATATAAACAGTGCCCTTAAGAATAAAGTTTTTTAATTAGCAAAGGATATCGTGCAACTGTCAAGTCATTATAATTATTACAGAAATAAAGATGTGTAATATTGATACTAACAATTTGTAACAAAATTGTTGAATAGGTGCTTAAAGAGACACTAAATAAAATAAACTGACTTTTTTACATGAGATCTCACAATTTTTTATAGTGGAATAATTGTGTTGCGAGACTTGGCATTTTTTCACATTCTATGTTTTTAATGAGATGCTATTTTCTATTAATAATATACGAATAAAGTGTACATTAATGAAGAATAATTAAAATTCCCTGCAAAATTCTTCTCTAGCTAGAACCGAGCCAATAATCGCGGCGAAATCGATTAGCGGATTAGAGCTGTCAATAAAACCGAAACCGTTCGGATGTTGCCAAATTGGTTATTAATCGTCCAATCAGGGCGGATTTGCGAGATTTAAGTCGACTAAAGAGGATTGTGGATTTTTGCTGCTCCCTGCATCCTGTTGCGGAACCAGCAGCCATTAGAACATCTAGCGCAATTGTTATTCGCTGTTTTATTGCTATTGGCGCTCGTGGCTTAGCAGAAGAGGCCCGTAGATGAGATGGGGAAGTTTAGTTTTTCTTTTCCTTTAATTATTTGGGAGGAAGTTATTACATTTTAAAATTAATAAGAGACTAAATTAACCAAAAAACTAACTAATTATTGCTGATGATTTCTCTTAGGACATTTATTTATATTAGATGTCCATTTCACTAGTCCGAAAAAGTAGCAAAATAGGTAAGCGTTCGGCATTTAACGTTTTATGTAAAACTGGCTAGGTATTTTTACACAAATAAAGAAGGAAATTAAAGATAAAGGATTATACTATATCCGTACTGTAGCACATTTTTAGACAACTTCTTTATTTTTAAGATTTTGATGGTCAAATTTCAACAAAATGTTCCTTATGTTTGGACTAAATTTTCTCGAAAATAAAGCATATAAAGCATAATTTAAAAATTCCGTTACAATACGGAAATAGATTAAAATTTTGTGATTACAGTGATATATAATTTATATGGTTTTGTAACAAATTGCTTAGTTGACATTCTCGACATGATATTGTCGACATACTTTACATTCTCGACATGGCGTTGTCGACATTTCCGACATGGCATTGTTGACATTCTCAACATAACATTGTCCAAATACTTGACATTCTCGACATGACATCGTCGACATTGACTTTGTTGACATGATATTATCGGCATACATTCTCGACATTCCATTTCTAGAAGTTCTTTAACGCAAAGAAAGACATTCTCGACAGGATATTGTCGACATAGTGGATATTCTCGACATGATATTGTCGACATACTTTACATTCTCGACATGGCGTTGTCGACATTTTCGACATGACATTGTTCACATACTTGACATTCTCGACATGATATTGTCGACATATCTGGTATGTCTCGAAATTATACAAGTCGGCAACAAAATTGAAACAAAACACCAATAAAGTGGAAACAAAATGGCAACAAATCAGCAAGAATGTGGAAACAAAACGGGCATCAAATCAGCCTCAAAGTGGAAACAAAATGGAAAACCTTGATCCCCTCGACATGGCATTGTTGATATTTTCGACATGATATTGTCGACATTCTCGACATAATATTGTCGACATTCTCGACATGATATTGTCGACATTCTCGGCATGATATTGTCGACATTCTCGACATGATATTGTCGACATTCTCGACGTGATATTGTCGATATTCTCGACATGATATTGTCGACATTCTTGCCATGATATTGTCGACATTCTGGACATGGTGTTGTCGAAATTCTCGACATTATATTGCCGACATTCTCTACATGGTATTGTCGACATTCTCGACATGATATTTTCGACATACTCGACATTACCGACATGGCATTGTTGACATTTTCGACATACTCGACATTTCCGACATGGCATTGTTGACATTCTCGACATGATATTGTCCAAATACTTGACATTCTCGACATGACATCGTCGACATTGACTTTGTTGACATGATATTATCGGCATACATTCTCGACATTCCATTTCTAGAAGTTCTTTAACGCAAAGAAAGACATTCTCGACAGGATATTGTCGACATAGTGGATATTCTCGACATGATATTGTCGACATACTTTACATTCTCGACATGGCGTTGTCGACATTTTCGACATGACATTGTTCACATACTTGACATTCTCGACATGATATTGTCGACATATCTGGTATGTCTCGAAATTATACAAGTCGGCAACAAAATTGAAACAAAACACCAATAAAGTGGAAACAAAATGGCAACAAATCAGCAAGAAAGTGGAAACAAAACGGGCATCAAATCAGCCTCAAAGTGGAAACAAAATGGAAAACCTTGATCCCCTCGACATGGCATTGTTGCTATTTTCGACATGATATTGTCGACATTCTCGACATAATATTGTCGACATTCTCGACATGATATTGTCGACATTCTCGGCATGATATTGTCGACATTCTCGACATGATATTGTCGACATTCTCGACATGATATTGTCGATATTCTCGACATGACATCGTCGACATTCTTGCCATGATATTGTCGACATTCTGGACATGGTGTTGTCGAAATTCTCGACATTATATTGCCGACATTCTCTACATGGTATTGTCGACATTCTCGACATGATATTTTCGACATACTCGACATTACCGACATGGCATTGTTGACATTTTCGACATACTCGACATTTCCGACATGGCATTGTTAACATTCTCGACATGATATTGTCGACATACTCGACATTGCCGACATGACATTGTCGACATTCTCGACATGATATTGTCGACATATGCGACATTTCCGACATGATATTGTCGACATTCTCCACTTGGTATTGTCGACATTCCCGACATGGTATTGTCGACATTCTCGACATAATATTGTCGACATTCTCGACATGATATTGTCGACATACTAGTTATTTCTGAAATGACGTTACCGTTTTGGGATCTTGGTTAGCTATTCAATTATTCTCGAAAGACGGAAGATTTCTTCTGGT